AAATAGTAATGAAACAACGAAAAATGACAATAATATTATGATTAATAGTAAATTAACACATGAGTAAGTCATATGTTTTTTTTGAATATTGCTCTCTGCATTATACCATAGTTTTTTTTTGTAAAGAACATCTAATTGAATTTCAAATTTTATTTCAGTAATTTTTATGAACATCAATCCATATTGCTCAAAATGATATCACCTGTTCTTCTTAAAGTTTGGTTCAGTAATGAAATAATTGGTCTTCCATTTACTGAAATATTCGTTCATTATCAAAAATCAAAAAATATAATGTTAAAACTTATTCAAGCTATTGATGAATTAATACAATTTGGTATTCTTAAAAAAGGTGTTAAAGATAATCGACATGTTGTTACTGCACGAAAAGAAACTTATTTGAGGGTGTGGGTATGGCGGTAATGTAGATGTGTCTGTTATGTTTACATTTAATGCAACACGCACCCACACCCACACCCACACCCACACCCACACCCACACCCACACCCACACCCACACCCACACCCTTAATTAATTACTTTCTTATACAAGACAATATGTATTTAAGAAGAAAAACAAAATTATTATCTATTCAAAAGAGTCTAGTCGATCGAGAAACGTTGCACACGGTTATTTCCGCTATCAACGACATAAAAATTACCGTATCCATCGAAGAACAAATCATCGGGAGTGTTAAATTGATTTGCTTCTTCTCCTTGGCCGTTTCCACCTACAATAACAGTGCCTCGTGTCGTTGTATTAGACCAGCGCATCACTCGATCATTGCGTTCATCTACTACATAGAGGATACCCAACGTATCGATGAACAGTCCTTCAGGTATCCCCAACTGCCATATAGCATCTCCTGTGGCTTCACTTGTAATGACGACAAGTCCTTCTTTAGCATCTTTATTCCATTTTACTACACGATGATTGCCACTGTCTGACACATAAACATTTTGTTGTCGATCAACAAAGAAATAGTATGGATTGCTGAGTTGATTGAGACCATTACCGTTGCCATGACCACCGGCCACGACAGTTCCATTCTTGTCACCTATTTGATATTGTCTGATTTCATCTTTCTCAGTGTTAGATACGTAGAGATATCTTTGATCATCCATAAACAATCCGAAACAGAAGATGTTGTCAAGGAGGATTTCTCCCTCAGTTGTTCCATACTGACGAGACCATCGTACAACTCGTTCATTCCATCGATCACAAATAATGAGACTATTCGTTTCTTTGTCGATCAACACATCGCTTGGACCTTTCAATTGATCCAGTCGATTTCCTGCTCCATGACCACCAGCAACCACTTGTCCGTCCGTATCATTCACTCTCCATTGCATCACGCGATCGTTGCCCCAGTCAGCGATAACGATCGTTTGATTATCATCAACGAATATACCGTAAGGGAAGCTGAGTTGATTGGTAGCATTGCCTGATCCATGTCCTCCAGCAGCAGTAACTCCATACTTCACTATAAAAGAAAGAATAGAGTAAGACACGTTTGCTCTAAATATAGTAATAATTATGTATTATTATTGATTTCCAGGAAACGCGTTTATTATTTTCTATAAGAATATTTATTATTTACAGTTGTCAGGCAAGAGATGGTCATATTATGTTGCGGAGTAGATTATTCTATGATTTTTCTAGAAGCAATAATATAAATATATAATTATAACTAATGTTGTTTTTTTATTTCGATTATGATGATTTAAAAACCTTGGAAAAAGTACAAACTCAAATTGTTTTTCTTTCTGATAAACAGGAGAGTTCCCGAGCTAGTTTCTTTTGTTTTGATCAAAAATGATTGTTATTCTATAGGGTTGGGTGTGGGTGTGGGCATGGATTCGGATGTATATTTTTTAACGTCGTGATTGAAATTCGGAGTAATAACATACTGATTCTAAAGATCGAATATAAATAGACCTTACCTGTTGCTGCGTTAAATGTTGTACAATTTATACTTTCACAGTTGTCAGAGTTTGACACTGGATGTGTTGATTTGATAAAGAGACCACAAACGACACCTACGATGGCTGCTATTATGCAAAAGAATGTAATAAACGTTATAACGATAGTCCTGCGGCTAAGGTATCGATTTATCCAACGTAATACACGGTTGGTTTCTTGCTTGTTACTCATGCTGATGCCTATTTCATTGTCAATTTTCTGCTTGATTTTATCATCAGCACCATGAATTATGTCTGGATATCTATGAAGTTCAGTTGCCTGGTGCTTTTCCATGGCTTTTTTGTTAAAGTAATCAGAAAGATTCAGTGTATCTTCATCGGACGCACTCATTACAATTTTCCACAACTGATTCTCTTCGTCACGTACAGCACTATTAATTTTGAATACAGAACAGAGACTAAACAGAACTTCATCTTCGACCGGCATGTTGGAGAATTGTGAAATATCGGCAAATACAACATTTGTTAAATTATAGTTCGTTTTAATTTCAAATATTACTGATTCTTCGTCTGTTGACGTAGTTCCGGCAAACATTACTGCGACATTATAATTAGTTGAAGTCGACAAAAATCCATTGAATGATACCAAAGCATTAATATTTTCTTTTATTTTATCTAGTTGAGAGGTTGTCATATTCCCATGTCCTCGAAACACTGTTAATGGTTTAGCCGATTGATTTTGTTTGTGCAACTGTTCCAGTTGCCTACACAAAGCTTTGATATAAGGTTGAAATATATTAATTTCTTCCATATCTAACGATCTAAGTGCCTTATTCACTAGCCGATAAACAAAACTATCTCTTGTATACCATTCAATCGCGTTTTCAGGTTTGTACGTGTTTTTAAATTGTTCAATATTCTTCTTCTGTACATTATCCTTCCAGTAATATTGATTACACTTACTGAGCATTTTTTGTGTATTATCTCTTGACCATGGATAGTGGGTCAATACTTCTATATGAAGTTTGTACCACAAAAAGTCTTGATATTCTTCTTTTAAACTAAATATGGGTATTAAATTTTGATTCATGATAACGAAATCTGTTGGTGACTGTAATTCATTCTCAATGGCCTTCTTTAATGAATGATCATCACTGCAAATAGCAATTATTTTTCGACACTTTTTAAGTAAATATTTATATTCATCGTATTCTTTGCAAAATATAAATATTGATGAGAGTTCTCGTAATAAAGATGCAGATAACTTAGGGAGAATACTACTGGCAAATAATCCAGACATCACAACTATGATTTTCATTGTTTTAGTCATACATTCAACTTCAATAAGGAACAAATCCACACAATCATACAACTTATAATTATTACCGCATATTTTCTGGAGCATATCAATTGTAACTCGATATTTAGGTGACGCTAAATTCATGGCTTCTTCGTCTACCCATACCAGTGTAATGTTGCTATCATTCTTGGATGTTGTGGTAGTTACTATGTCGAAATGTTCACCATCTGGAAGATGTTGCGAATGTTTATCATTTGCCATCTTTAATCGTTACTATCGATAACAGAAAAGGTTGAAATAGAAATGTAATCTAACAGTAATACAGTAATAATCCAGAATATCTAATGAGAAAAAAAAGGTAGAGTCAATCATATGCTCAAAAACCTCTCATTATAGAAAGAACGACTGTTCATATGGTACTTTTGCTCTTATTTTGCTTGGAATTTTAAGAGTATAGGTGTGGATATTATATGCGTCTGACGCGTAAGCTCATACCCACACTCACTCTCATACCCCTAAAAAAATACAAAGTTCTGCCATTTATTATGAGTCACCCGTTGCACTGAATTAGAAATGATTCATTATCGTAATAATAAATAATATTTAGATATGTTAATAAAATTTTGCGATCGCAGGAATTAGAGTAAAACTTTGAAAAAGTATTTATCTTTTTAAAGATCAATTAAAACTTCATGGTTCTTTAATAATCAATATGTATACTTTACCTTAATAATCAATAAATTTATATTTATGACTATTTCGTTTTTCTCTGTAGTTGATTATACACAGCATTTTTTTTTACATATAAAATATATGTTTCGAACGAGTAGACATACACGTCAACGATATATCACAGGCAATTAAATTTTATGCATGTTTAGTATTCCTTTTTATCATTACATTATCGACATGTGATTTAATATGAAAAAGAGAACAGACGAAATAGAATCATGACGATATGCATAATTTCTGCTCTAACCTTTGGGCATGAATTATAATTTAAAAAATATGTTACTATCATTCAGGTAACATAGAATAGAAATTCACCATCATTTCGATTTTTCAATTTGAAGTTTAGCCAACGAAATAAAATACAAAGAAATAATCTAATTAATTAATTTTTGTTTAATTTTTCAAGTATACAAAAATTATATTTATTTTCTGTTTATATGTCAACATTAGGATGAAAGAAATAGCAGTTATACTCTCTAACTTGCCAGTCACGGTTTTCGTTGTATCGCTGATGCACGTTATTTATTCATCATGTAATGCAACAGAACGGAAGAGTGAAATATACGAATTTTCTATTCTATGAATGATGTGCTTCAGCGACAGAACGAAAAACGTGAGAAATGAATAGGGTGCAGGTATTCATTTGTTTTTGCATCTAAATCCACACTTACTCTCAGTTTTAGTTTTATTTTAAAGTAAAATAGGAAGATATTCAATGTAGAATTTCAGACTACATACATACTTGAATAACCTATCGCTTTTTTTTCTAAATATTTTCAATTATATAAATGCAAAACAAGACTGAAATTCGATCGTTTTTCAAAGCATTCATCAAGAAATGAATTTTATCTGTGTCAAAAAAATTCTATAATTATGTTATAAAAACTTAGTCGAAATGGTACTCAACTGATGATTTTCTAATTCTTTGAATCTTGTCTAATTAATCGATAATTCCCGTTTAATTAAACAAATCAGTGAGTAAACACGTTTTTCTCGACATAGGTGATAGTTGATCATCATCATGTACAAATGATAAGATATCTAAATGTGTAAAACATGAGTTTTAATTTATAGATTCTTTTCGAGTAATTCAATAATTAATAAAAAAAACTTGATTTGTTATTTATTTATATAGTGTGCTACTTGTCGATTTTTATATTAGACATCAACATGAAATAGATAATTCAATTTTGTTCTTATTTGTTTTCTTTTCTTTATATCATATGTAATAATTTATTAAATCAATTTTTCTTCATCATAAAAACTAGTACGAAGTATAGAATTTCTAATAGTAAATAGAAGGCAAGTCAAGCAAGAAAAATAAGAGACGAGAAGGATATATTATCGAAAATAGACTTTAAAATGGGTTTTGTAAGAATACATATTGGAAAAATGTCTTTTAAATAAATTTATTGTGTATTGAAATCTAATTTATTCATATCTAGTCTACAAAGTATATTATTTATTTTTCTAGTTTTTGGATAAAACACTCAATCTTTCTCCTGAATGCTAATAGAAACCACAAGTTTACTTCTACTACATTCGTTTCTTTTCTTTTTTTCAAAGATATCTTAGTTTTATGTTGATTTTATAAACTCTGTCGCTACTGTATCTAGTTTTCAGTATACTGACAGGAAACAAGCGATTTTTTCTATTGAAATACTCTAAATGAGGTTTACTAATGACACGACTTACTGAATTGTCTTGTACATGACTAATGAAGTAAAAAGATCAACCAACTATTCTTCTAAAAAAATTCTCTGATTTTCGCCTATTTAAAAAAATTAGCGTCTTCTGTCTCATAATACAAATTAAATGGCAACAAGTCGAACTCGTATACAAAACTTCTTCTGATTATCACTAATTAATAAATCATTTGTAGATAGTAAGAATAACAGTTATGTAATTACTCCGAGTCAATTGTTTTCTTTTCTCGAAATGAATTTATGAAAACTGTTTTTTTTTCTTAAGAAAGTTGGACTATCTATCGATCCGGGCGTTGAACTCAGTGAAAAATACATCAATACTTTTAATGTAATTCAAAAATCTTCAAACATGACATATATTATTTTATTGACAATCAGACTACTTCATTCAATTCTTTTTCGTTTCAATCAAGTTCATAGATCCACTGCGAAATGATAAATCAACAAAAGAAACGTTGTTACGATAAAGACTTTGTCAAGTCTTGCTAGTTACTTCTTGTAAAAGGATGTTTATATATCTTTCTCACTCATTGCGTATAATCAACTGTTATTTTAGCTGTAAAACGTATGTTAAGAAAGAATCGCGTGTTAAAAAGAACAGCAATACATCATAGATGTGATAAACACTATCAATTAGCTAACAATATATAATTGATTATTATACATCTTGAGGGTGAGAGATAAATCCGTTCATACTTAGTCAGTTCACAACCACATCCACACCATTAACTTAGAGAAAATATTTATCAAAGTCGAGACAGAACGTTCCAACACGTTGTTTTTTTGACTTTGGTCGCCGTCTTACTGTTGAAATATCACTAGATCCCAAATCATTTAGTACATCAATCCATGCAAATGAACATGTATAATAAAGAGTTTTGGTGTAATGACGCATTTTTATTGAATTCAAATTAAGGCATACTGATATGAGACATTTCAAAGCGAAAAATTGGTCAAGCTAAGTTCATATATTTAGGAGAATGCGCGTGAGTTCAAAAAAAAGCAAGATAATAATTTTAGAATTTCTCTTCAAAGTATCGAAATTGATAATTCATACAATATTTCCGTATATCTATTTCCATCGACGGTGGACCACAGAAGAAGACACCAACATCATTGGCCATCGAAGCATTCTCGCCAGATTTAAAACTTTGAAAAAGTTCATTCCAGTTTGGTTGACCGATATGTGTTTTCGATTTTAACGCTGTAAATACATCATGTCCAGTTATTTGACTCCAAAATTTCGTAATAAGATCCGATGGACTATCACCACTATTTTCATTATATTTTACTCCTGTAAAATGAAGATGAATATCTAGAAAACGACGTTCATCGACATTCAAACTTAAATAAGTTTCTTGTTCACGTTCAAATTCATGTAGAATATTAAGAAACCATTCAAAATTTTTATGATCACGATTTACCCAAATAAAATCGACTTTTTTCATAAAAACGATTTTCTAATATATTTCGTCGATTATAATTATGACCTTGGCAATGTTTGCAAACTATATGCGATGCACGGAATTGTGCCATAAGACTTTGTAAAATAGATGCATATGGTGTTATACCAATTCCACCACCAATCAGTACAACATGTTTATAATCAAATACACATCGTGCACATGATGAATACGGTCCTTTAATGATTACTACTTCTGCATCTACTCTTGAGTCTGGTACAATACGTTCGTTATCATCGTCTCCTTCTTCACAATAGATTATTTCACGTTCTTGTCGCTCTTCAGCTGTAGCCTGATCAATATTGAGGTCTGCTCGATGAATTATCAGATCATTTTCTACATTCTGAGTATCTGACATATCTTTAAAACGTTGATAGACTCATGGTATTCATAAAGTGTGATACGTGGTAAATTGATACTAATATAATCGCCTGCTTTAAAACTAAAACGAAAGTTTTCTTTGTATAATATAATACTATAAAGAAAATGTTATCAGTATTTTTTACCGAAATTTTTCGGTTGATGAATATATAAACAGATCACATTGGATGGTTCGATAGTAACTGATAAAATATATGTACGACCATTGTCTGAAGAATATCGTGTTAGACTTGAATAGATTTTCTCCAATACAAACAAAGTAAATGGTACGATTATCCATTTCTGACATCATAAAAGAAAATAATGGTTAAAAAAACTCACGAAAAAAGAAAGAAAGAAGTACTTACCTAAAACACTCTGGCATGAACAATGAGAACGATATAAAAGGCAAGATAGAGTAAATGTGTCCAGTAAAAGACCTATAAAGACACTATATAGAGATATTATTCAATAATACATGCATCTATACATGAAAGTGACCACCACGTCGAATCCATTTTATTGAAGAAATAATAATTATCGCAAGAATGATACACAATATCATTCCGCTGAGTAGTGTAAAACCACCAATCCAGCCGATATCAGAATATGTGGTAAACTAAAAACAAGCAATAATGATTAAAACGCAAAATAGATGAAACCACCGATTTATCTCACCATAAATGTAGACCATGAGTGTTCTACAAAAGAAAGAAAAAAAGAAAATTTAGGCTGGCTGGATAGATGTACGTGTGTATAGTTTGACTAACAATAAATTCAATTTCGAACTTACCAGTACGTCGTCCGAAATTCGCCATATGTGAAACAGTATGAAGAATAGCTAATACTGTAATAAATCGTTATTGTATATTTAAGCATAAGAATAATCACCAATGTACAATTAAAATTCAGTAACATTCCACCAATACGTGCAAATACTATCAGTACATTGGATCTTGTTACTGTCGATCGATACACAATCACATAAAGACAAATAGTTGACTGTAAATTTTGATCGACTTTTTTCGTAGAAATATGAATACCATTTACGATTGGTAAAAATTTGTTGAACAACACGATATTTCGATGGTTTCATGTTCATTTCTAAACCGAAGCAATAGTATAAGATCTTTCAATGGGAAAAATACTGTACGGTATAATTCTGCGATGTTGAATTGTCGTTTGCAATAATGGATATGCATTTATATTGTTTGCACTTTGACTATGATTTGTATCCATCATCTTGTGTTACTTACTGTGAATACTAACCTGTAATGAAATGCAACTGATATCAGACTTTGAACGTTTTAGTTAAAGCCAGACATCAGGAAAAAACAACATTCATTTTTCTCATATTTATTTGCATGACATATACTGTCTATGACATGAAAAAAAAATAAAAGAGCGATATTATTAAAATTTTCAGTTGACACTCGTTGTTGTTATCTTTAAACTGCTATACTGTTTTGTTCTGCTGTTGTTATTAACTGCATAGACAGATTTTATTTATTACTCAATCAACATTGATTACTACAGAAAGAAGATAATAAATGAAACTTGTAATTTGTAGAACTCAATACATTGTGCTACTTAGCTGCTTAGATAGATATATATTAATAGATCCCTGATTGGATCAACTATTGTTCACAATAGTATTTAACATTGCCTTCATGATCTTTCAAGAAGTCGATTTTGAATTTAATAATATTTATATATATATATATTACATGTTTATTTTTAAAAAATGTTAGTTCTCACAACTATTTAAAAAAACTGACAAATCTCCGGATTTTTGATTCGTTACAATCATATCTGGTTTCTTATCATTGTTAAGATCCCCCGATATGAGAAAATAGGGTCCACTTCCAGTTTGATAAAAAAGAGGAGTTTGAAAAACTCCATTTCCCATGCCGAGTAAGATGCTAATAGTATTGTCGCCAAAGTTTGCAACTGCCAGATCCAACTTCGTATCATTATTAAAATCAGCAGACGTTATAGAATATGGAGAGTTACCCGTTGGATAGTTCATGGAGATCTGAAAACTTTTATCACCGTTATTAAGAAGAACGCTGACAGTGTTCTCAACTCGAGTGGCTACTGCCAAATCGGGTTTCATATCATTATTAAAATCGCCAGTCGTCAATGCATATGGAAAATCACCAACTACATAGTCTATAGGAGTTTGAAAAGTACCATTTGTCTGACCAAATAGAATACTAACCGTATTGGTACCAAAATTGCCAACGGCTAAATCCAATTTAGTATCATTATTGAAATCAGATGTTATTACCGAGTATGGCCAACTACCAACCATATAATTCATTATTATTGGAAAGCTTCCATTTCCATCATTAATGAGAACACTAATACTATTATTACCGTAGTTAACTACTACCAGATCTCGTTTGTTATCATTATTAAAGTCATCACAAATCACGGAACATGGTGCTTTTCCAACTGAATAGTCCATTCTAGTGTGAAAAACACCATTCTCATTGTCTAGTAGAACAGTAATAGTATTGTCAAGGTTGTTCGTTACGACAGCATCCATTTTGTTATTATTATTAAAATTATCCAATACTACAGAAGAGGGTGATTCACCAACTATATAGTTCAGTGGAAACTGAAAGATTTCTTTGCCATTTCCAAGTAATATATGAAAAATTCTGTCAAAATCATCAGTGACTACTAGATCTAATTTCGTATCATTATTGAAATATCCTGAGACCATAGAAGTTGGCATGTTACCAATTGTATAGTTTATTGCCGCTTGGAGATTCCCGTCCACGATACCAAGTAGAACACTAATCGTATTGTCGCCTGAATTAGACACTATGAGATCTAGTTTCGTATCATCATTGAAATCACCTAAAATTACAGACTTTGGTAAATATCCGACTATATAATTTGTTGGAGTTTGAAAACTTCCATTTCCAATGCCCAAAAGTACACTAGTCGAATTATCCTGAGTATTAACCACTGCCACATCCAGCTTCGTATCATTATTAAAGTCTCCTGCGATTATTGAAAATGGTATCTTGTCAGTTGCAGAGTTTATATAAGGTTGAAACGTTCCGTTTTTATTTCCTAGTAGAACACTAATGATATTGTAGTTTGCACTAGTTACGACCAGATCCGGTTGATTATCATTATTGAAATCGCCGCATACTATCGATGACGTCGATCCATTCACTGGATAATTGATTGGAATGCCAAAAGTACTATTTTCTTCACCAAATAATATAATTACGTTACTGTCGTCATAGTTACTTATTGCTAGGTCTAATTTATTATCATTATTGAAATCATTTACTACGAGCGAGGATGGCCTTCTACCAATCGGATAGTTTACAGGATATTGGAACATACCATTTCCCTTATTGAACATAATGCTGACCGTGGCGGTACCGAAGTTAGCTACTACCAAATCTATTTTATTGTCATTGTTGAAATCCTTAGCTACCAGAGAAACTGGTCTGTTACCAGCTACATAATTTATTGAATTCTGAAAAATACCATTTGCGTTTCCCAGTAAAATACGAATAGTATCGTCACCATAGTGAGATACTGCGAAATCCAATTTATTGTCATTATTAAAATCCGCAGCAACTGACGCAGACGGTCTGTAACCAATCGGGTAACTTCTCGGATTCTGGAGAGTTCCATCAGCATTGACCGATAGTAGAAGTAGTGCGTTGTCACCAGAGTTAACTACTCCTACAACTAATTCATTGTTTATCATAAAGTGACCAAGTGCTGCAGCTTGTGGATTATTTCCAGTTGCATAGGTAGTTGAAGCTTGAAAAGGATGAGTACATACAGATGCTAAGAAAAGAAAATATCAAGATTCATTATCAGTAGTGGTATAACTTTTCAAATGAAAAAAAAAATATCAAAAAATTGTACCTGCAGTATGAATTTTCGGTCTTGTTCCCAAAACGGAGCCGATAATAATTCCTCCGATGATCAAAGTAAATAAAAAACCGATTGGAATAGCAAATCTCTTCTTTCGATACCATTGACGTCTAAATATATGTAATGAAAAATCTCATAAAATATATAATAAAAAAACGAAAGATAAAACTTACTGGATTTTTGGATAAACATAAGCACCTAGATGTAGAAATACTATTTAGTTAAAATAATTAATTGAAAATATTTGAAATACCTTCAAATGGAGGTTCCAATAGGATTTGTTCTGGTCTAACCTGTTTCAAATGTATGATATAAAGATCAGATGCTGGACTAAATTGTGATTGAACTATCATTTGAGTGCCGGGCAGAAGAAGAACTTCATCTTCATTGACGAAATGTGAATGATTACGTATTCTTCGAGCATTAATAGCTTCGACAGAGAATAATGTTCGACTGCCAGTGTTTCCTAAATACATATTATTTTCAAGAACAGTCATTTCAGTAGTACATGATGAAAATCCCCACCAGACTACGGTGGTACCAGGTGGAAATTTTGTACTCAAATTTTTCGTTACTCCTCGCCAGACAGACAATGGTGGAATACATGGTAATTTGACTAAGGCAGTTAATAGTAGTTTGAGATATTTAAAATATGGTCGAAGTTTTTCACGACTCTGTTCTTTGAGAGTACGATTGAGCATTGAATAGAGACTTTCATATGGTTTCTTCCATTCAAGTGTGTAGAGACGAATGGCTGCACTCTCATCAATTGTTAATTCATCAAATGGTTTTTCTGGTGTTTCATCGAGAGCCATTTTTATATAGGTTGATAAATCATCAATGATGTTTTCAAGTGAAGCACATGCTTTATAAAGTGGTAATAAGGGCTCTTCTGCGTAGTCTAAAATAGGACCAAGATTGCCTTCAATATCATTCATGATATTCATAACAGTCACACTTCCCTTTGAAGAAGTAGCTCCATCTACCAATCGATGATTTATTTTCATAGGATTATTTGTGACTGGGAATTGATTTCGTTCAAGAGTTTCTTCATTATTTAAATTCACAGATGGTATCTCATCTCTATACAACGGATTGGTATTTGTGTTGATTTCTTCTATTAAAACATCTTGATGATTACCTGTCTCTTCGCCATTGAATGTGATTGACATTAGTTCGACTTGATCATCTCTCGTCGACACTTTATTGCGCTGGACGAAATCCTCCATTTCTTTTTATTATTCTTTAAATTAATATCGATGCTTTAAAACATATATTTCTAATACGATTACTACGTTTTTTACAATTTAAAAAAGAAACAAAAAAAGTGAAATATGTATGTGTCTGCTCTATTATAGTTTACTTACTTATGATGTTTATTATTAAATAATGTTTCAGAATGATTATAATCTTAGAAAAATGGATGAATCGTGTAGTCAAACGATATAAACGATAGTATAAAATAAAATAATCATATAAGGATTGGATATGTTTTTCTATTTATAACTACACCCATTTCTAAAACATAATTTATTTTCTCTTATATAAATGCGAAGAGAAATAAGCAAGTAGATAAGAAAGAGTCATGTATGTGACGCACTTCTTTTTCTCATTAATCTATCATAATAATGAGACACGTGTAGGTATAGTTCTGATTTGTAATAAAGATTTCATATATTTCTTACACAATCAAACTTATGATTTTAATTGTCGTTTCACTTTGGTTAGATAATGACTACATCTACATATACAATAGTTCAATTTTTTAAGTCTTTTAATAATAAAAGCACATGTTGTTGATAAAAAATATAGTGATAGGTTATAATACTTTACATCATATCGAATATTTAACGAGCAGTGACGTCGAGCGAAAAAAGAAAAGAGAGAAAGAAAAAAATCTTAATCGTATGTTTGCAGGTAGCAAAAAAGATTTTTTTTATCTTACCCTCGTTTACTCATCGACTGCAGAATTATCTATATGACACATTAAACGACGTAGAAAAGAGAAAATGCGTAATCTCTTCTCATATACAAACAAATGTATCATAATCGTTGTTGAAAAGAAAAGTAGTATTTTATTTTTGTATTATATTCGAATAGTAGTTTTAAGTTATAAAAATTTTTATATTCTTTCTCATAATCAATGGGTGTCAGTGAGATAAATGTAAAGTTGTATCTTCTCTTTCTCTACACCGACACTCACACCATCCATGCAAGCTGAACTAAATGCATATATATTTTTGTTAGTATAAAATTCAAAGCACCAAGGAACTTGAAGAAAAACAGTGATCGATCGTATTCATATCTTACATGCATATTATTATTTGAGCATATTTTAATATGGGAATTTGTCCGTAAAAGACAATTTTAAGGTGAACATTAAAAAAGACCTAATTATAACTCTTATGGAATGAGATGGAAAGCATAGATATTTAAAATATTATCTATTTAGAAAACACATACACGAATTTATTGACGACAAAACCTATTTAGGTGCTGAAACCTTTTAGACTTCATCTTTTGGTGAAAGGTGAACTTCCGTGATATATAAAAAACCTGAAAAAGATTCGTGTCTATTTGAAAATACAACATAAATCTCAATGACGAATTCGTCGTTGCCAAGTCGTCAATGATTCTTTTAATGTTTTTCGGTATAATTCCGATGGAACGACAAATATAATGAAGACAAGTATCGATGGGGCGAATGAAATGAAATAAGCACAAAGATATAACCAAGGATTTTTAGATATCTTTACACATCCAGATAATAATGAAATGATTAAACGTGGCATTGATAGAATGGGTAGAATTGCTGGACTAATCACTAATTGTTTATGTTCGCGTAATTGTTCACGAATATGTGCGACGTAACTTCGACTGGTCTGAGCTAATGATCGTTGTCGAGCAGTTCCAAAAATGATGAATAAAGCAGAAAAGAGATTAACAATAAATGGACCAATAAGATGAATGAAAAGAATGGTTGTATTATAATATTGGACAACACGAGAATAATTAATTACACACCACCGATGTATTTCTATTATCTTTGTTTCATCCTCCTCGTCTTTTACTTCAAAGTCGAAAATATTACGATGTAAAGGTTCATGAATGATTGTAGCTGAGATACAAAATGGTAAGATAAATATACTCCGTCGAGCAAGACGTTTACTCTTTTCTTTGTTGAAATGAACACCTTGATAAACATGAACCGCTCGTTCAATAGCAATACAAGCATTAAGCCATGTATCAAAGTAAAGAAAAAGTTTGAGGAGAGGTTCAATAAAAATACATCCACTTCGACGAACAGATAAATTAATCGATGAATTCATTTGAGTGAGAAGAACGAACCAAAAATTAATTGTAAACATAGAAATTGTCATAAGAGTAGTTACTGAAGATGCTAAAAGATATATTCCACATCCAACTTTTCTTGAATTTGCATTTTGAAATGTTAAAAATGACAAAATACTATTAATTAAACCCATAATAAACATAATTATTGTCAAAGCAACACTTATTTTCACTAATAATGATTGATTCTTCAATGTCATATTTCGATTGATTTCAAAACGTAAAATATCATCAAGAGTTATACCAATACCTTTAATTTGAAGATTACATGAACCACCAATAACACATTCATCATGATTTTCAACTAAATAAATAAAACAAAGATTTAAAATTTTATCGACTAAAGTTAAGAAGATCTTTGATCAGTTATAACAAAATATATGAAGTGTCACGTAAAACTGTATCAGAACAAGTGAAGTTTGATAATTAATATGCTTTTTGTGCATCAAAGATCTCTGACAAATCATTAATTCTTCACTTTGGAAAAAACATTTGTGAATTTTCGACTCGAAATAACGAAATTTAACATTGTGTTGCATACTGAGAAAGTCAATTTTTATTGATTAAGTGTGTTTTAACAAGATAAATATCACATGATTTTTGAATTCTTATCACTGTTTATTTGATAGAATGCGTAATAAAAACATTCTTTGTCGTTTAAATCTTATAACACGTACATAGTCTAATTGCGTCTCCTTTTCATCTTCGAGAACAATGGGGAAACATGACGCTAACTATGACGAAAATGTATGAATACTCACTAATACGTTCAACATTAGCATTCGTTAATCCAGACACAATGATTGAAAATGCATTTGTCGTATCTGGAGAAAATGTTGTGACAACCAATATGTATTTAATATTGACTTGCAAATTGACTGCGAGTCCAAACTGTTCCTGTTCGCAGTTCTCATCATCCTCTAAGATTAAATTTACCGATGGATTAAATGGAACAAAACTGTGCTCGTAGATATATCCGTATGTATCGACACTACTGTTACTTGCAATCATATAGAATCCATCTGTAATTACACTGATTTGGATAGTTTCATAATAATAGTTTAATTTGTCACATCTTCGAGAATACCTTTGATTATCCGCTGTTAGTACTGATGAATACACCGATTGAACAGTTGATGAAGTATCTATTCAAAAAATAACGAACCGATCAGTAGTCTATTCTTAACATATTTAGATAAACTTAAATACTTTTTCGATGTCATTTTTCTTTCTAATATATATCTACAGAGTGAAGATATGATCTATTTCATTTTAAAATGTTGTATGAACAATGTTGAAACTGAAAATTAGTCTTGAGTACTCTCAAAAGGTTTTTCAAGTTATCCGAATAAACAGAAAAGTCTGAGTTTTATGAATAATCTATGATAATATTGATAATGAACTTTCAAAGATCTTCAATAGATACTCACTTAGACGTTCGAGAGTAACATTGTTGGAACCAAACACAATGATGGAAAATGTTCCTGTTATATTTGGATGATATGTCGTCACCACTAATATGTATTCAGTATTGATCTCAAGGTCAACTGTCAATCTAAATTAATTGTTACGGCAACTATTATCATTTGTTGAGATCAAATTTTTTAATGTATTGAATGGATGGAAATAATTTTTGTACATAGCACCAGTTGTATCGATACTGCTATTGCTAGCAAAAGTATAATAGCCACTTTCATTTACATTAATTTGTATTGCTTCGTAATAGGTTGGAAGATCGCAGCCATTTTGCGAAAACATTGAATGGTTATCTGTTAATGCTGATGAATAAATCGATTGAACGACAAATGCAGTATCTATTCAATAGAAAACAATTCAATCAAAATTCATAGGACTTCAAAAGATCTAAACAGTTTTGTATGTTGTTTTTTTCTTGAAGGTGTTATAAGCGTGTCACATCTACGCTCACACCATTTTTCTTCTTGATTACAATTCTGCATTTTGGATATTTATTAACTCACACGTCTATATGGAAATTTGTTACAAAAACAGTAAATACAACGATTGATTTATTTGGAAGTATCATATTAAAATGTATCTACAACGTCGGATATGTTTTCTTCTATAAAATTTAAAGAGAAAATATTCGTATATTTAAACCATTTCGTATTTCAATCATGAGTTTATATCGCCACAATGTTCATCATGTGAAAATTCTTTTTTAAAACAACAATCTCTATTGAATCGGGAACTTTTCCAGATTTTTGATGAATACTAAATGAAAATGAAGTATGCCTAGATTTTCTATGTTTTGTACTTCTGCTCTAACATTTATAAAAATCATGATAGACACTCACTTAGACGCTCGAAAGTGACATTATTTAAACCAGACACAGCAATTGAGAATGCTCCTGTTACATTTGGATTAGACGTTGTCACAACCAATATATTCGCAATATTGGACTGTAGAAAAGTTCCAATCTCGAACTGATGTTGACCGAAACTGTTATCATTCTCCATAATTAAATTTATAGATGGACCGGATGGATAAAAATTGTCTGTGTATATATAAGCATATGTATCGATACTGCTGTTGCTATTAAATCTATAATAGTCACTCTCATCGACATTCACTTGTATGGCTTCATAATAGTAGTTTGAACGATCACAACTAGTACGAGAATATATTGGATTTTTTTCTGTTAATTCTGACGAATAGATTGATTGAACAACAGATGAATTGTCTATTCAATAAAAACAAATCAATCAAAATTTGTAAAACCATCTTGAGGGTGGATGTGAGTGGGGTATTATATATTGATATCGTACCCACACCTACACTCTCAAATAAAACATTAAGCAAGAAAACCTCTTTCGTAAATTTTCTCAATCATAGCAAGATTCAAATATCACACAAAAATGATCTTTTATACTAAGTTAATTTCGAAGATAAATGAATGAAATTCTTTCTAAATCTTCGTTGAATTCAACGAGTGAATATAAAATTTCAATGGAAAATAGATTTGTTATTTTGATTGAAATTATTTTTTGAACTTACTACAAGAATTTAATAAGAAATCAAACTTTTAAATGCGTTGATTGGAGTGATCAAGAATAAATATGTTTCCATAAATGTCGAAACTAAGAGTTATTGGAAGGGATAATTGATTGGATTGTGATCCTTGTCCACTACATCCAATTATACATTGAATATGATTTGATCCTGATCGAATTATACGATGATTCCATTGATCGACACTAAAGAGATTTTTATCCGCATCTAATACAATTCCAGATGGACAAAAGAGTGAAATAATGTCATTTGATGATCCTCGTCCAACTATTGTTATTCCATTTAATTCTCCGGATTTAAATAGTTGAATTCGATTATTGTCACAATCTGCCACATATAAATCAAAGTTTAAATCAACAAAGATACCTCGTGGATATGAAAGTTCATTTGAAGCATAACCACTAATACCTGTTCCAGCTACAGTTGTTGTTATCATTTCACTATCATTTAACCACCTTTTCACAATTTTATGATCAAAAATCATTGAACAATATAAAGTATCATTAATATCGATAAAAAGACCAGAACATTCCGAATCAACATTCATGACATTAACAGAACTATTTGTATTTGATATCAATTTATCAACTCGACCATTTGAATCACCACTATCATAATAAATATCACCATTATTTGTAACGAAGATGGACAATGATTCGTCGAAATTGACATTAACAACTTTGTTTGGATTACTACTATTGTTATTCCACATTAAGATTTGTTTCTTCTCTTGGTTAACTGTATAAATTGTATTGTTCGTATTGATAAAAAGAGCGAAAGGATATTGCCCAAGTATTGTTTCATTAGTAAAAGTAATTCCAAAAGGATTCCAAGCTGGTGTTGGACAAAACTTTGATTGATTAAATGAAGATGCTAAAATAAAAAGTTTCTCGAAATAATTTGTCTCTTCAAACGAATATTTTTCTGAAAAAATAAACACATTTTAAAATAGTTAATTTATGAAACATTGTCAAATTGACTAAACCATTAAAATAATTAATATTTTAGGAAATATCTGATTTGATTAAATGAGAAATTTTTTATTTAACATCTTTATAGAATATTTCTTTACGTTCTCATCTTTGTTTAATCGAATCAATTGATTATCTATCAGAAAAATTCAACAGAATAACGTTTGATTATTCTCTTGAAATTCGATTAGATGTTCTTCGTTTTTCCTACTTTAAACTTTTTACAACTATATTCTTATCAATATACTCCAACGTCTAATCATCTATATTTCTATACTTATCACACTATTCCTTAATCTAAACCTATATTTGTCTATCTCTGAACTAATCATTGTATCTTTTTAGAGGGTCTAGGCGTGGGTACGAATAAAATAGAATACTCAAACCCACATCCATCAGAGAGATTAAAACAATAGTTCGAGTCTGACCGAAGGATTCTCTCGATGTAAACAAAATGCTTTACTTGGTGAAATTTTACTGATCAAATGGGTTCTGCTCAATAATCTTTATTTAATAGTTTTTATGAAAATCTAAGAACAGATCAATAAACTCTCGTAACTCTAATTCACATCATTTTAAGTTAAGTAGGATAAAAAGAGATGATTGATAAGTAATAATAATGATTACCTGATATTTCATTGATCATAACTAACAGAATCATGAGGAAAATGTTGAAATTGTTCTTCGTCATCAATGATAAAGAAAAGTAAAATTATTGTAATCGACAAGACACTTAATATTCTTGTTCCAGAAAAACAAGTAAAACTATTTCTTTATTCTTTATGTATCTTTTTTTTCTCTTCTCATGATTAACAAATATTATCTAGAAAAACAATGACATATTTTGAGAAACGATTCTTTATTGATACTTTTCATTATTACTGTTTAGATTTAATTGATAATTCTTCACATGATTTTATTTTGAAAAAAAAACATCGTTAAATTCAATTATTTAACAATGAATTTCATTTGAAAATATCTACTTTTTTAGATAAAAGACGTGATAAAAAAAAGAATAATTCTGGTTCAACATTGTGTTAATATTGAGACATGATTAAAATCAAAATAAAATATCAATTTCAATGATTAATAAGTGATTGACGTCAGTGAAATATATTTTCTAAATATATCCATTTTGTCACGATTTTATTTTATCACGTTCTCTTATGTTGTTTTTATTCAATGTACGTCATCAAAGTGTTGCATAGATGAGATATTTTTCAAATGATAGCATTTTTTCTAATTAAGTATGAATAAAAGAGTTTTTCAAATTTTATTTGTTACATTGTTCAAACAAAGAAAACTGTTTGTTTCATTAATATCGAAAATAGATACAAATAATTTTCAGTAGATATTTAAGAATGATTTTATGGGTGGGTGTAGTGTCAGTATCGGTGTAGCTATCGGCGTAGATATAATCCGAGTATAACACCCACACCCACCCTATATATTTGAGTATACTTGTAGATGAGGGAGTTGTTTTGGTTACAGCCACACACCTATACTTACACTCATTCTACAAGATGGTTTCTTAAAATGGCTTGCGCAAAATTTTCAGAATTCTTTTCTCTACAACATATCTTACAATGGGTAAATCTTGAGGATGCGGGTGTGGATGTGTAACGAGCATAATCCTCATATCTACATACCGTCACCCATACCCACAAAAAACTATATCCTTTTGTTGAAGATTAACTTAGCTGAACAAAATAAGGCTCTTAACAACGAACATTCATATGACGCTTAATATGCATGCTGAATTACGAACGAAAAAAACAATTGTTGCATCGTAACTTTTTCAATGTTCATCCAACTTCACTTTATTTTTTGTTGTGCGACATACGATCGAAAAAGTAAAGAAAAATGATGAAATATAACGTAATGCATTTTAGAGAAACCATGCAACAGTCGGATATGAATTCAGAATGGAAATGGAAGAGAGGAAGTAAAGGAACAAAATTTAAAGATTTCTTAAATAAAGATTTTTTCCGCCTAAGATGTATTTTGCAAAAAAAAGAATAAGTAAGAAAACTATTTTCAATTGAAAATATGTTTTTTTAAAATTTAATATGGAAGAACAACAACATATATTGGAGTATTATCAAATGAAACTTTATTCGAAATATCTCGAGGGTAGGCTAGGATGTAGATGTGGGTGTTTCTATCTTCTCTTTCATCAAAACCAACATCCACATCCACATCCGCATCCATCATTCATTTGGAGACTTTTACCTGTAACGCGGTTACACTAATCGACGTTCTTGTCCTCTTCTTTCCAGGTTCTTGTTTTTCTTGCTTTTCAGACAAGATTCTTTTTCTATTCTTTACATGCAAGATTCTTGCCTGAAAATTCCTTACATACAAGTTTCTTGTCTGAAAAAACTGATCTTGCCTTTCTTGTGAGATTCGTGTAGATCGAATCTTGTCTGGTGAGGCAAGAAATTCTTCTCCAGACAAGATTCTTGTTCTCTTACTTTCTTGCTTGATTCTTATCTTTCTTACTTTCTTACCTGATTCTTATCCTTCTTGATTTTCTTGCCTGTTTCTGATCATATCAAAACAGCCTTTTTTAGGTTATTACTACCTTTTTCATATCGTTTTATTATAAGCATTTCACACCATGTACAAAAAAATATGAAAGAACAAAAAAATACTTTAATTTTCACATATTCATGAGGTAGATTTAATTTTTAACACAAAAAAAAAAATTTTTCATTATTTATTTTCTTAAAATTTTACCTATACGAAGAGGATTATCAAACAATAGTTTATTAAATAAATCGATATTTTCTTTGTCCATTATATGTAATACTTTTATCGATAGTGAAAAATCTGGAAAATAAAATAAAATATATATAGATATGAATTAGAAAAATATCAAAATATGTTCAATAAGGATTGCCTTCGGTAAACAGTGAGAAAATGGATATCATATATTCCATTGTTTTCTTGATATGAAATAAACTTTTACTATACATCCAATTAAAACAATAACTTACTAGATGTCGTTTGAATTAAATAAACGCTTCACAAAAAGAAAATAATATAAGTAACTTTGCACTATACTTATCGAGCCAATAATAATTGTGAATAAATAACGGTCAGCTAATGCTTTTATATATGTGATAAACAAAGACCACATCACGTGCCGTTCATCCTGGAAAGCTGACAAGAATCTGTTTTCTTTTCTATTACAACGATCTTGTCTGAATATTAAGAAATTTAAAATATCTTGTGTTTCTTTCCAGGTTCTTTTTATCTTGAACTTCAGCCAAGATTCTTTTTAAAGGGAAGAAAAAGATTCTTGTCTGAATATTAAATATATCTTGAATATCTTGTAATTCTTGCCTGATTCTTTTATTTCTGAGTGTTCACACGAGACTCTTGTCTACTGCAAATTCTTGTGAGATTCTTTTTACTTTCCTGTCGAAAAGAATCTTGCCTGAACACAAGAATCTTGTCTGAAAAGCAAGAAAAACAAGAAGCTGGAAAGAAGAGGACAAGAACGTCGACTAGTGTACTATTGACAGAATGTGTTTGACGTTGTGAAATGACTTCCACCAGACAGAGAGAAGAAAAGAAAAAGAAAATTATAAGTCTTCCGAGCACATGTTTCACTCTGTGTTGATTCAAGAACCGAACGGAGCAGTTATAGTTGCACACCGATAAAAAACGGTAAAAAATAACCTTTTGTGTTTCTCATCCACATATTTAAGTTATTTCTCACCATGCATGATTCACTGATTTGTCCTATTACGTTCGATCTGTTTCGAGATCCAGTCGTTGCTGAAGATGGCCATAGCTATGAACGTGAAGCTATCATCAACTGGATCCGTACAAACGGTACAAGTCCATTGACAAGAGAACCCTTAGCCGTTGGAGCACTACGCCCGAATCATACATTGAAAAAATTGGTCGATGAGTTTGAAACTGCAAGTCGTTCCAAGAATTTTCAATTTAAATTAGGAGTGGATGTCAAGACAAAGTCACATCGTGCACTCTTTCAGACATTTGGTAAGACAATCTATGAAGCTGAATGGATAAAGGATAATGATAGTCGGCCGCGAATTGTATTACTGAAGATCAATGGAGCGCGTGCTAAGAAGGAAGCGTCATTCTACGTTGATTTAACTCGTCATCCGAGCATTGTGAGAACTTTTGGTTTGGTACATAGTGACAATAACGAGGATGATCAAGATACACAAAACTCTGTGACTCTGCTTCAAGAACTTGCGCTAGAAGGAAGCTTGTACGAAGTATTACAACACATTGATTTGAATGAAAACATTCTACAAGCTATGTTTCTACAAATTACGGACGCTATGATCTTTCTAGCTCATAACGGAATCATTCACGGTGATTTAGCCTGCCGTAATGTTTTAGTCTTTCGATTAGACAAACAGGAACCACACAAAAACATTGTGAAATTAACAGATTTTGGAATTAGTCGTCATAGTAAGCTCTATGCACCGACAAATAGTACAGCCACGACGACGATCAATATTGTTCCAACACGATATGCAGCGCCAGAAGTGTTAGCAAACGAACAATATTCTGAAAAGTCGGACGTCTATTCCATGGGTGTGTTGATGTGGGAAGCTTATTCTAAAGGGAAGATACCCTGGTCACAGAGTAATTCTGATGCTGAAGTGAAACGGCAGGTGACACAGGGAGAGAAATTACAGAAACCAAAAAATTGTTCGATTCAAATGTGGTCTGTGATTGAAAGCTGTTTTATATTATCTGTAAAAGACAGACCGACATTCATGGATTTAAAACACAGTCTTTCTCCAGCTCCATACCAACTGATGAAACCGGCGGTACGTAGGATTTATTTTGAATAAGTCAATTTTTTGCGTTCAAGGTAGTGATTCATAATTCTTTTATATTTTTAACAGCAGACAGAAAACTATTGAGATCACGGCAAATTTGAGTTGGCTGACTTGAGTATATGCTTCATGTTAAAGAGGGATGGTGGCATAAGATTAAAAACTGGTCCAATCTTGAATTTATTGTATTCATGTACGTTTCGATGCAAAATTGGATGCTCTATTCAATAAGATCATCTCGAATTGAACGCAATCTTACTGTGCGAAGGTCTCAGAAATACATCTCATGACTTTGACGTCGACTTCGACAATAATAAAATACTAGCAGTATTCAGGTCTATATCATCCTAACATTCGGAAATCGACTTGAAATTATAACCAAACGATCTAGCGTAAAATTCTGTATCGAAACATGCATGAATACAAAAAATTCAAGAATGGATCGATATCTGATCTTATGCGCCCCTTCTTTTTAGAACATTTTCATCTATTATCTGTTTTAAAGTTCAGTCTCGATTATCAGCTTACAGCATGAAGTTGGTAGAAAACTGGTTTAGAAAGACGGGATCGGAGCACCATAATGAGCAGTCATCGTTGGATCTTGATGTATAAAAATACTTCTCCGGACAATGTCTTAACTTTTACTTTAGGAAACGGAAAACAAGCGGTTAAAAAGCGAAGATAGGTAAATATCGTTTGATTGCAGGTGCTTGTTATATAACTGTATTTATCTTATTACATACATGTAGAGTTGTCAAACAAGAGCAACAATCGTTCGAAGTACAAATACCATGCGAATTTTGTCAGAAGTTATATGATCTGCATCATCTGCAGGCCCATCAGGTAAAAATAACTCATAATACTAGTTACCGACTGAAAACGACTGCAAATCATCCAATAATTACGTCCTATAGTGAGACTTTTCTTTCTCACAGTTATCTAAGTGCGTGTAAGTCAAGCGTCAAATTCAGTGATAGCCAACAACGTTTATTGAGTGTATACTTTTCTGCGCAGAGTTTTAAAGCAGCACGAAATTGAGTCTCTCACTGATGTATGCACAGACTCCTGAATTCAAATTACAGTAATAGTTATTCATTTTTCAGTGAAGGATGGTCGGTGTGTACCATAACAGGCCCCCGTACCATACTATGTTTAGATAAAAGATATCGGGAATAACTAAATCAAATTGTTATTTTCAGAACACTTGTCGAACAGCTTCAATGGAACTTCGAAGTAACAGAGAGCAAGCTCGCGCACAACTTAATACTGACTACACAACGGCTCGAGATATATCAGCTTCACATCATGACTACACGAGCACAAGAAGAACTGCTTCTCCTAGAGACAAGCAATTTACAACGACTGAGGGTAAGTTAGCTTTAAACAGTGAGTATACAACAACTCGAACTATGCTGACTTCAGATAGTGACGACACGAAAAACAGCAGAATTCTACCGCTGAAAGTTTCGTAGAGAAATATGAAACATTTTGGTTACGTATGGGCCAAAAGTTTATGTGCATGAGGAGAAACGTTCCGTGGGCTTTATACTAACGCCTTAGAGGTTTTGGAGATATGCTCGGGACCTTTACTTCCAATGAGATTCTCTCAAAGTTTTTGTACATTTCTGTTTGAATCTTTTATTTTTTCTGAAAAACCTTCGATCGTATAATTTTAAGCGAGGAGAAAAAACTCTACTTGATCTACTACAAAATGAATTGTATTTAATTTCTTCTTCGAGCCGTTGTAATGCTACTTCAGCAGGAGAATAGAACAGCAGCTCTCACATCACTGTTAGCTTGTTTCTCATCCCTTTTATTCCGATAGCTTTCCTTTTCTGTAAATCCTTCCAAACTTTGAAAAACTAGCATAGGACTAGAGGAAATGTGATCGAGGGTGAAGAATACAAAGCTGAAATCCGTTCATCACATTTCGAAGCTTATGATATTAACATTGTACATCACCACATGCATCTTACAATACATCATGGACAGAAAAAAATAGCGGCTGAGAAGCAGCAGAAACACATGGATAGCTTCCGCTCCGGCACGCGCATCAAGAGAGTGCGAGACCAAAAAGAAAACGGACGTGTACATCTCTGTTCGCAACCATCTAACACGGCTTAGAACGTTGTATAGCGACTATTCAAGCTGTGACACGAGTGAAACACTAATTTTTCAACCTTTTTTTAATTTTCCTACAGATCTATTCTGCTTGAAACACTCACCCATACAGGCTCAGTAATAATTGTAAGAAACAGAAAATAACTTATTTTCAACTTACTATACTCTAAAAATGACCGTATTCGGGGAAATTAAGAAAAATGGTTTTAGGACATTCTTATGCCGAAAGAGTTTCCGAGTCGTTTTCAGAGACCATCCTATGGTTTTTCAAGTGAAAAGAGATTTTTGAAGTTTCGGAAACCCTTCCGGCATAAAAATGTTCGTAAATTCTTTTTTTTCTGGTTTCCCTGGATACGATCGTTTCTCAGAGTGTATAAAACAGTTAACAATTTCATTTAGATGATCAAGAAATTGGCAGAACAAGAAATACGACACCAAGAACTCAACAGCAACCTAATATTGTTGATTATTCTTCTGTTCCCCCTCCTACCCATTATTTTCCCGCTTCGATTCGTCCTCTTCCCCTTCCTAATCGTTCTTTTCCATCTCCTGTTCGTTCTCCACATGAGCGGGATTATTATGATGAGTATAATCCTTATCTTTATGATGATGAGAATCCTTCTCCTACTCATCATGAGGTTCCTTATTATGATGAGTATAATCCGTATCTGTATGATAATGATAATCCTTCTCTTTCTTCTTCTTCTGTTCATGAGGCTCCTAATTGTGATGATTATAATCCGTATCTTTATGATGATGAGTGATATTTGCTTCTATTAGGTCGTGCGTGATCGAAGTTTAATGTTTTTAATGTTTATGTGTTTTTAATCGAAATAAAAGAACGTAGTCCATAAGAAGCCATTTCGGCTCTTTTGACTTTTTCTGCTCAATCTAATTAAATCATATACAAGAGAGTGAGGACCATTCAAGCAAACCATGACGCGTTTCAGCCTTGGTTAACGATCTCATCAGATAATTTTGACCACGTGGATGTGGGTGATGGTAGCTTACCCACACTCACACTCTCAAGTTGATATTTTATTTAAAATGAGATGAGTTATTCAATCACTTAATTGTCAAATAAAAGAAAATGATTATTCAAAAATTACTTATCTGAAAATGAATTTGAAAAATTTAAAGATAAGAATTCTTTAAATGTATTAATTTCATTTAATAATTATGTCATTTGTAAACTTAATAAGCCTGATTTTATTTCAATATACAAATAATATAAATAAAATACTTCTTTAGATTCTAATAGAGAAATTTGACTTTCTTTTCAAAATATTTATCGAATTAAATCAATTGAACGAATGAATGATAATAATTCTCATTGATAGATTATTAATTTAATAAATTTAAATAAAGATGATGAACTATTTTATGAATTCACAAATGATACTCGTATACAAATTGAAAATCCAGTTGTATTAATTCAATTAGGAAAACTTTTATTAATAGATAATGATTATTGTCATGCTGATTATTTAAAGATAAATCATTATAAAAGATAATCCAACATTGTTAGCATCATTAGCTGCACTTCATCATTTACTTGGTTCAATGGATAATAAAAATAAAAATTATCGAGATGCACGTTTTCAGTTCGAAGAATCATTAAAAATTTTCTTATCTTTTACACTAGAAGACAATCAAATACTTTCAGCAACTTATAGTAATATTGGAAGTATGTTTTATCAAGATGATCAACATGAACAAGCTATTATTTCAATGTCAATTAAAATCTTCGTCACCTTATAATGAAGAATTATTATTAATTGAAATGGTTTATGATCGAATTGCATCGATTTATTGAAAAATGAATAAACCAATTGAAGCACTTCAGTTTGAACTTAAATATCTATTTCTTATTTTAATGTATCAACTGTTTACGCAAAATAAGATCGATTAGATGAAGCTATTGACTGTGCAAAGAAATATGTACTAAATGATCATCCAAAAGTTAAAGAAAAGACAAAATGGCTTCTACAACTCTATGAATAAAATATTTATTTGTTTTTTTTCTTGTTTATTCTAGAATATATTTATTAATTCTCAAATATTATTTGCATTTTGTTAAATAATGAATACTCCGCACGAGGGTGCAAGCGCGGGTGACTGGGTACTGGTATTGTATTCATTCAATAGCTACACGCATACGCACATCTACGAACAGTATTAGCCATAGCCACATCCACACCCATCCGCAATCAACAAACAAGAAAATATAGTTCAATTAGATAAACTTTTCGAATGTCATAAAAACCATTCTGATCATTTATCTCTTTACTTCAGTTTATCATTTTATGCAAGGAGATGCATCTTCCTAGTTTATTCTGCAATTTATTGAGACCTACTAAAGATATAGACATATGAATAGCTCTCATCTACTTGATCTTCCACATTTGGAAATAAGTAACATGCCTTTCTGAAAATTTAAATATAGAAATAAAAATAAAACAAACTATTTGGAAACACCGTCGGGAACTAAATAAACTTTCCTATGATTAAAACGAGAATAGAAAAACAATTTTCCGGCAAAAAAAGTTCAAGATCGATGAAAGTGATAGCTGCGAGACCGTAATTAAGTTTGTTTAAGGGAACATAACAGATGTTAGAGTAATAAACTTCACATAAGTCCACTGTTGATGCTTGTTTCCTAAGAATTGACAGCAACAATGAAAACCTTATCATTCGCGCGATTGTTAATGGCTCTATCCTTGATAATTAGCCCCCGCAATTATATTAAAGGTCTTATTGTTACAGAGAAACTAGATGTCTTTGACACTTTTTTGTACCAACCCAATTCGAATCAGTCCATCCTTAGTCAAATGTCAGTAAGAGGCCGAATCCAGTGTGCAGGACAGTGTATGCATAATCCAACATGTAAAACAGCAACATTTGATCAAATAAATAGTCTCTGTACTCTATTTGATGACTTTGAAAATATTGGACAACTTATACAAGACAATGGAATAGTTACATTTGTACGTAAAGGTGAGTTTCAATCGATAATATAAAGTCTCGACGCTTTTTTGAGACTGATTAAAAAATATAAAACTAAAAGAATTATTTTCCTATGCTTTTCCACTATTTAACCAAGATCTAGTCTTGACTAACTTTCTGTCAACTGTTAAAATATGTATCAGCACTTTATTTACTAGAACTAGTGTAATTACATCGACTTTTAGTCAACAAAAGTGCACACTCGTATGTGATGAAATATCGAGAGAGTATTTTTTGTTCTAGTTAATCCATTTTCCATCGGTTGGAACTCAACAGGAATCACTGTAGCGGGAGTAACAGGTGTTGCAGGTATCGCAGCGAATCAATTCAATCATCCGTATTGTGTAGTATTAGATTCGTCGAATACACTTTATGTTAGCGATCAAGTAAACCAACGAGTGCAGAAATGGTTGTCAAATGCATCATCCGCCACAACAGTGGCAGGACAATCGAATGCAATGGCTGGTTCGGCTATGGATTACTTAAACTATGCGAGTGACCTGATAATTGACTCGAATGGCAATCTGTACATTGTAGATGCGGGAAACAATCGAGTGGTAGTTTGGAATAATGGATCATCGTCAGGACTGATACTAGCTGGTACTGGTAAGAAATCTTCTTTTGAAGTTTAACATCTTTGTTCTACAATGAAATCTTGTAAATAATACGCTCATCCTATCATAAAAAATAATCACTCTCATTTTGATGCTGAGTTCAGATAAGTACTCTACGAATGAGATTATAATTTCCACCTTGAGTTCATTAACATCCCTCTATATTAGATACAACTATATATTTCTATGTTTACAGGTATACCCGTCAACACTGCCAGTCAACTTTCAGGCCCAATAAGTATTGAACGTGATTCAAGTTCAGGCACGCTTTACATATCTGATACTAATAATCATCGTGTCGTGGAGTACATAGTAAATGCATCATTCGGAACTGTCGTTGCGGGCGGAAATGGAGGCGGAACGGGCATCACACAGTTATATAATCCACGAGGTCTGTACTTTGATTTATCGACAAACAGTCTTCTCATTGCAAATAATCATGCTCACAATATTGTTCGATGGGTCTTAGGTGCCAGCAGCTGGACACTGATCATCGGCAGCGCTAGTGGTACAGCAGGCATCACTTCAACAATGTTGAATTATCCTACACATATAGTACTAGATTCACTGGGTAACATGTATGTCTCTGATGAAGGTAATCATCGTATACAATTTTTCTTGACCGGCCAGTCGAATGGCACAACCATTGCCGGGATGACAGGCACACCAGGAAATACTTCGCAATTACTCTATACACCTTCATCGGTGGCAGTCGACAGTCAATTCAACATATATGTTACTGACTACAACAATCACCGTGTACAAAAATTTTTACATTATTAATCAATAATATGAACTTCACATAAATGATATAACATTGTTTTCAGTTGTGTGAGATTTTCGTAGATTAAACAGTGGCAACAATTTAATTAGCCATTGTTAATCTTTATCTTTGAAAAATAAATCATTCATTACCATAACTAGATTCATTTGTGTCTACGATATAGTGTTAAGGGTGTGAGCGTTGGTGGCCGTCTCTGCTTCTATCATACCCACATCCACGCTCTTAGGAAAAAACAGTCTAGTTTAAAATGCTTAGTCGAGTATTACTACGATCGAGATTTTTTGGAGATTATAGTTATAGGCAATAGTTTCATTAATCTCTTGTCAACGAAACTGATTCCTACGATACTTGAAAAAAAATCCATATTTATTTTTTTGACTGTGGAATACAATTATTTTTTTTCTTTTGTAATCTTAATAGAAAAATAAAACTTGTATTTAGTCGCACTTTTTCTTGTTTTATAAAGCGACATACTGATTATATTTACTAATTATTTCTCTTTCATTTTAACAGCATTCTTGCTTCGTCGAAGAGAGAAAAAATTATCATAAAATATGATTATTAAATTATTTTATAAAGCAAGTAAAACTGTGCCAATCTACGCCATTAGCATTTATATCAGATTTACAAAAAAAAAAATTTTGTATGCATGAAATTTAACGACAGATGGTTCTCTTTTTTTTCGGTAAAGTTTGATTTTTTGAGTTACTAAAAAAAATAAAACGTTTTCTCAGAATAATTCTCGACAAAAATTGAAATATTGCAGGTCATCATCCTTACAGATTCCTAGGTAATCAGATGATCTCCTCGAGTAAGGTGCACAAGAGCAAGGGGAACTTCAAAAATTAAGAAATAGTAAATCTTTTAATTAGAGGATGAGAATGATATATTGTCCAAATTCACGCTTTTCTCGATATGTCTCTATAAGATGGTACACCTATTTTTCAATTACTTTTACAATTCATAAAAGATATAGTGGTTATCATAAGATTATAATCACTATGAAGTCAAAAGAAGTAACTATATCGTTGGTATTGATTTTTGAATGACTGTAAAAACTATTTAGCTGCACAGATAAAATATCCCATGAAAATTGACTAATTAATAACTATTTTATTCAATAAGTAGCACTTCTTTTTTTACCATATAATAAATGATTTAAATCTGCTCAAAAGTTTCTTTTATGTTTGATAATATTCACAAGAAGCAATAATATTCAAAGACAATACAACTTTATTGTCCAATGAATATTCGATCTAAATATTAGATTTCAATCCATTCGTCTCTTGTTCGTCCATGTGCAATCGTATAGAACCTGTGTCTTCTATCAATAAAAAACTACTAGTGAATAATG